TTGTAACTTAATATATTTTGTTATTTTAATGTCAATGAGATGGATACATTATCATTTCAACCGCAAAGTTCTCCAAACACTAATATTAATGTTGGTTGTGAAGTTGATATGCCGAATGTAAGCCATGGGACAGACCAGTTTCTCCTCAACATTCGGAACAAACTGAATTTTTAAAAACACGAGAAAGAGGTACGAAAAGACGTTTTACTTCATATGTGTGGAATCTACAAATCTACAAATCTAATAAGAGCCAATAGAGTGTTTTTCCAAAATAGTCCCTCGACTATCGCTCATTCTCAATTTTGCATTCTGACTTTCAATTGCACCTAATGTGATCCATTGACTTTTAAAAATTACCACAAATTGGTCCTCTGTTACCTTTTCCGTTAAAAAAGCGTTAAGTTTGGGGGTATTTTGGTCCATTCACCTTCAAAGCTTCGTCTAGCAAGATGTTTGAGCTAGTGATACATCCCGGTGAATGACTCTTCTGGCGTGAAGGTATTGCAATCATCGTCAACCTTGTAGAGATGGTCCGTGAGTGTTCCTCTGGCCATGAACTCGTAAACCAGTAACATCTCTTGTTCTTCGTTGCAGTAGCCGATTAGGCAGACAAGATTTTGGTTTCATAGATGAGAAAGCATCTTGATCTTAAAATGAATGGTTCATATTATTTTGATTTTAGTATTTTTTTTTAATAATTTTCCTTATTTACCATCTATTATATTATGTTCTCCCTCAAATAACCCTAAATTCCGTTAGTATAAACTTTAGTAACACAATATTCCGTTAACTATTTATTATTCTTAACTTACTCATTAATTTCTATAAGAAATGTTTTAAGTTCGAACCACATCCCAATTAAAATTGGCATAATTATTAAACATATACTACAAATATGTTAAAATATATTTTAAAAATATAATATAAAATTTAACATAAAGTTTGGTCAAACAATTAGCCCGGCTAAATACATAGCATTCAAAGTTGAACATCAAAGATATAAATCAGGAACTTTGAATATCATTTGGTTTTCTTGCATTAAAAAAAAAAAATTAGGTTAAGTTTCTTTTTCCGTTTAATTAATCTTCTTTTGGTTATTTACTATTTAGAACAAAACTTAATATTTCAATTATGCTTTTGCATTATTTGAATGATTTAGGTCATTGTGGTATTAATATTTTTTTGTATATATTTTTATAATGGTACAATTGTACATTACTTTACAAATATCATACTATTACTATTTTATCGGACAAAATTGTTCTTACATCATTGTCAGACATGTGCGACCTAACTACAAAGTTGTTGATCATAAATACAATTACACTTGGACTCTAAAATGGTAGGGCCATTTTCCAAATAATTGACAATGTTGACATCCCACTTGCTCCAATTGGACAAGTTTACACATCATAGTTTTATCAATGCGTGAAAACTTCTAAAGAAATTTTTAAGTTATTTTTTTACTATATCATTACGATATCTATTGTAACCATATATTTTGAATTATATTTATTATAATCCTCTATTGACAGTAATTGTAGCAATTGTCATTAACAAGCTCTCAAAACAATTTGTCTTAACAACAAATAGAAATTTACAAAAATTAATGATTTCATTATTGTGGATGAAAAATATGTACGCCACTTTATTACTCTTATTAAATTAAATAAATTAGTAGCTACAACAAAAAATAATATATATATATATATATATATATATATATATATGTGTGTGTGTGTGTGTGTGTGTGTGTGTGTGTGTGTGTGTGTGTGTGTGTGTGTGTGTGTGTGTGTGTGTGTGTGTTTTATTAATTTAGAATTAGATGTCTATAAAGTGTTTACTTAAAAAAAGAGATATAATTTTATTTTTATATTATATTTATTTTCTACAATTCATAGATTCCTTACCTTCAAATTTATTAATTTATTATATTCACTACATTATCCATTGTCTTCTTTTTACATTATTATCTTGTAAAAATTTTTTTTTAAGAGACATTATCTTACAATGACTAAGATTCCAGTCATATACACAATAAGACTAACCTAAAGCTTCCTACACCATAATCTCATTGCATGATGAATCTCTCTATGCTACCACCAGTAACCCAATTGCACATGATACACTATCAATATAAAAGGACATGTACTGAAGATGAAGAAAATGACAATGCTACCAAAAAGAGAATTAAGAAGAATTAGAGAAATTTAAACCGAAAGTAGTATTTATTTAGACTATCGCTTTTAGACTAAAAAATTAGACTATCGTTATTACAAAGTTGCAAACATTTATTTTAGTGACATTTATAATCAATCTCTCATATATTATCTTGCATTTATATATACTTTAAATTACCGATTTAAATAAACAAATTCAACATTTATTTACCTATATATGCATGAACATCTCCTATATAATATTGTATTGATATACTGATGTGGATCTTTGGGGATGAACTTGAGAGTCGATTCACCAAAGAGTCCTCCGGTTGCCCGATCTTTTCCTCACCAAAATAGCAGGAACAACAATTATGGTTTATGGGTGTTGGAGATGGAATTGGTTGATGTAGGGGCTGGATTTGGGATTATTTTTGTGTTTTTGTATAAGGATATTTCGGCCACACCTTGGTCTTAGGCGATAAGGAATGGATGGCACCACAAGATTGGTATTATCTTGATAAGTCTAAAAGAACATCTCTCAAAACACAAGAGAGACAACAAAAATGCCTAGCATTTCTTTCATTCAACTTCATTCATCTATATCTCCAAAATCTAATTGTGTTTAGCCTTTAAATAGGCTAATACATAACTTTCAAGTAGTTCGAAAGACTCCATTACAAGGAAATGAATGATATTCATTCATCCTATACATGTAACCTAAAATAAAATAAATATAGCACATGAATAATATTAAAACTATACTAAATGAGAATCTATTTGCCTTAATGGATTGAGTTTAGCTTCATTCGAATTCTCCCAAGGCAACCACAAAAATTTGGGCCATTTAGATTAATTCCTCACTTATTTTTTTGCCAAAAGGTTGGCCCAATTGATGCAGAGTTAGCCCAGTAAATTCCATCAACAAAATTGGTCTTCAAAACTCTAGTTAAACCTTTATTCTTGGTGATGGTTCATATAGCAGTGGTTTGGACCTCCAAATGCAAGGTGAAGCAATTTAACAACTTGGTCTCTTCCTTGTGAAGCCCATTAAATTTCTTGAGTCCATCTTTCTCACAAATTGCATGGATTAATCCATTTACAACCTGTCGCAATTTCTTAGCTTTTGAACGTGTAATTGTGACTTCTCTTATTTTTATGTTGATCTTTGAACCTTTGGTTGTCCTCATCATATACTTTGAAGTACTTATTTAAAAATAATCATTGGGCATTATCCCATTCGCGCAAAGCGCGTAAAAACACTAGGCATTTTAATATAATTCAAAGCAATGGTAAAGATAGAGCTAAATGCAAGTATTGTCATAAGGATTATGTGAAGGAGTCATGACGAACGGTTTTTCGTACTGGTGAGAAGGTGGAATGATGGAGGAAGGTGTAAACGGGAATTGGGGAACTCCCGAGTGTTAAACTCAAGGATGGCAAATCGGAGCAAGTGAAATGCAAGACAATCCTTTGTCACAATGCATCAATGGATGAACTAGGTGCAAGGTGGAAGTGATGGTAGTTAAGTGTGGAAGTGGGAAAACAAAGAAAGTAAAGGAAATAAAAGAAACAAATATGAACAATTAAAACGGGGATTTGGATGGAATTGGGATTTGGGTTTGTGCACTCATTGGTCTTTAGTAGACAAGAGTGGATATATGGCTTGGCTAACCTAGGGAGACCCAAGGCACCAACATTAGGTGGCGTCACACCTAAACTCTCATTCTCTACTTCGGGTGAGGCATTCTATCAAACACTTGGCGGGCGGTCTACCGTCACCTCCCCTAAGCTCGCCCTCTCGGGTCGTAGGAAGGGGATTGCAAGGGCCAGACTAAGGAGAGTGCAATCTCTTGCTAAACTCCCACTCTCACACTCATCTAAGAATTTGAGCTCTCAATAGAAAGAGATCAATATGCACTCCTCTACAACAAAGGCATACAAGGCCAAAACATACAACCAATCTCATCATTCATACATTCAAAGCATAAGAACACAAATACAATCCAACACCAATCCAAATCCTAGATGTCTAGCAATTCATCATCATTAATAAGATCACAAAGCATAAATTAGATATGAAATATGAACAAGGAAGAGTGGTTACCCAAGTCTTCAATCTTGATGCTTGTAATCCAATAGCAATGTTGAACAATGAATTGTAGAAAGGAAAGTAGATCTAATCTAAGAAAATGAAAAGAAAAGATAAACCCTCATCTAACCAAACCTAAAGTGCTGAAATGAAAGGTGAGGAAATGGGAAAAAGAGTTGGTGTCCTAAGTGATCCCCTTACAAGCCTTTAAATAGGCTTAAAAACTAAAATTTCCGCGCTGGGCATCACAACTAATTCGCAACTCACGTTGTGAATTTCAATGTTCTTTAGGCCTCCCCGACAACGCGCTTACAATGCACGTTTTGAGTCGCGTTGTTGTGAATTGAACTTTTTTTCCTTCACCAAAGTTGTAGCCCTTGAAGTTTCCGAACCATGGCCACTGGAATCACCTTATTTGGACACTCCAAGCTCAAGATATGATCAATCTACCGAACTGTCGCCGGAATGCCCTGAAATTGGCAATGTTTTGCTATTTTTCTACAAAGGCAATAGAATTAGTCCTTAATCCTAATTTCTATCAAATTAAGCAATGTAGGCATGAATTAGGTATAAAGGACTCCAATTATAGCACAATTAGCCTATAAAATACCCTATAAAACATAGCATCTTTGGCACTTATCAAGTCACACAAATATGGAACATCAACTCTATCTCGTCATCTATCCTCTTGCAAATTAAACTAAAGCCTAAATATAATGATGTGGGTTCTATGTTAATTGATCATGAAGGAAATTTGCGTGTCAAAAAAATTGATCATAATGTGGTCCGTGAGATCGATGATAAGCATGAGCATCAGTTGACATATAAGAGAAATAGAGAGTTGCACAAGTATTTGAATTCTGATTACAAATTCATAAGTAGAAATACAACTGAAAAAGCCCGTGTATCTTGAAATCAATTTAACACTAAGGATTCTACTTGATTTTATATTACGAGACAATTTCGATGTTTAATTAAATCAATTCAATCAACATATAAATAACGAAATTGAAAGCGTAAATAAAGTAAAGACACAATAGAATTGTTACGTAGTTCGGAGCTCCTTCTCCTACGTCTGCGGGGCAACCCACGTCTGCCCAATCCACAAGATGTTCACCACAGAGTATTACAAGAGGTAACTACAAACGGCTCACAGCCTTTACCACTACAACTCTTCTAAAACACCTATTTTGGACTGAATCGTGCATGCCATAACCATCTTTGGTGTATCGCTTCAGCTGTCACAGGTACTGACTTGAAGTACAGAATTAAATCACAAATATAATATAATCAATATTAAAGCAGTAATCTAGAAAGCTTGCGTATGTGATCAGAGTATCAGAATTGGCAACTTCCTCTTTCGTTTTCCCTTCCTTATATACTGTACGTAATTTCCATTTCACCAAGCCTTGATTGTAGCTTTCATATGTGGCTTGAATTCTTCTCAACCACATCTTCTTTAACTTGAGATCTTCAGACTTGCTCTTTGTCCAACTTATTAACAATAAATCTCCACCACACATTTTAGCTTGGTCCAAAATACTAATTACAACTCATACTAATTAACACTACATACTAATTACATATTAATAAAATAAACTAATAAATTAGCCAATCTAATGTGTACTATTTTGTACACTTACAATCTCCCCCTTTGGCAATTTATTTGGTAAAACAATAGTATCATTATACTTTGGGAAAAAGAAATGAATATTTTATTAACATCCCATAGTATACGTACTGAACATATAAAGAAAATTAAATATGCAATTTTAAATCTTTTAGAACCAGACCAAAGCTTATTTGTGTGTGGGATTTTATTTTGGACCTTAGTTGATGTTGACTCACATACTTCATCCAATCAATAAATAGTGACTCGATGCACGAAAAAGTGTTGTATCAAACATACCATATATGTCACGCTTTCCATACTGTAATTTGAATTACTCCCCCTAACTTGGAGCTTTCCTTTCTTCATATGCATTCCAATTAAAACCAATTCATACCATGCAGTCAACATACCAAATATACCAAGACATTCATACTTAAGTCATTCATAGTCATACCAAAAATATTTATAGTCATACCAAATTATTAATAGCATCCGAACCAAGGATTAACATCCATACCAAAATATACCAAAAACTAAAAACTTACCAAACATCAAAACATTCCAAACATTCCCATACACCCCCTTTCTCCAATACTCCCCCTTTGTTTATGCCAAATAAATGACAAACAAACTGGTGAACATCATACTAGTGGATTGGATTAACTTGCAGACCGGGTGCCCGACTCAGATTCATCGCTCTCAGATATAGAACCAGTTCCAGTGCCAGTATTAGTTCGAATCCGAGCATAGATGGCCTCCATTCTTGATATTTCTTCCAACTGAGCACCCAACAACTTTTCAAAGCCATCAATGGTTATTTGTTGAGAAGCAACCGATGTGCGAATTTGAGCAATTGACGCTTGAAGAGTGAGAACAATTTGACAGCGATCCATGAGCGTCTGAGGTTCCTTGAACACTGCCGTAGGACGGGGATTTAGAGCTGAAGTCGTGTTAGCAGCTGATGCAGGGGCAAACACAGGGGGCGTGGCAGTTGGTGCGTTAGGAGTGATCATGAGCGTAGCTCTATCATCATAGTGATCCTTAGGTTCCCTATGTCGCACAATTGAGCAAGATGGCCAAAGATGATTGCTCCAAGATTGAAAGGGAGTCGGTTCCTGATCTTGTAGAGGAGGGCAGCAAGCTGGTCAGACACAAGATGATGACAAACAGCCGACATCCAATTTGTTGAGGCAAGCCGTAAAAGAACAGAGTAGACCGTGGTGAGCTTTAGGCTTTCGACTCCGGTGTTTGGCCAAGTGACAACCTTGTTGTGAGTTAAAGCAGCGGCTAGGAGATTAGGACTCGGGTCAGGGGCAGCCTGATGATTTGGAGTACCCAAATAGGAATTGATCACGGTCGGACTTAAAGGATACCATTTATCCCGGATGAAAACTTGCTGAAACCGAGGTGACCCCTCCGAAAAAGTATCCAAAGTTAAATTCGTGTAGAACTCGGCAGTGAGCCATGTGGAATATGGTCCAGCATGAACAAGTGAGGCGAGCAGGCATTGATCTCGTAAGATAGGCACAATGTTGCATTTTTCTGTCAACTCGTCCACATTGATGGATTTCTCCAGAATAAAATCTCTAGTAGCGTGAACATTCCAATCAGACATCAAAGCCGGAGACAGTAAAATAGGGTGGTATTTCTTCTTGGGTTGTTTCATCTTTGAGCCAGAAGGGACAGTAACAGCTGCTGGTGCAGGGGCTGGACTTGGTACTGGCCCTGAAACTGATCTGGACCTTGTCATCCTGGGTGGCAATGTGGGCCCTCTTTTTGATTGCATGGAATCAGACAAGCAGACAACATCCTCCAATGCTCCAATTTTTCTTTTCCCGGCTGTACCTGAAACAGTAAGTTTTTCTTTCCCTTTTCGGGAAGATTTGCTCATGGGCACAGAGACGATAGGGACAGTGTCATGAGATGTGGATACAGGTATGGGAGCCTCTACTGTTGAAGATGGGACTAGAGTAGTTATGGGGATAGAAAAAGCAGCACAAGTCATGGGAGACACAAATTGGTGGATATTTCGAATGGAGAATGGTGTGGTCACAGTATGCACAAAATCAGATAATGGCATAAGATTTTCAGGCAATTTATGTGAAGAATCATACGGATCACCTTGTAAAGGAAAGGAATGGGCACACATATCACTAGAGACAGACACAAACTGATTCGGCAAAGGGATGTTGAAATTTAATTTTCTAGAAGCAGAAACAGTATCATCTAGAGGTGAGGATACTACCATAGTTTCCGGGGATGAGGCATGAACGAACTCTGATTGTGGCGGAGGTGGCTTGGTTGATTCGATCGGAAAAGTTCACGGCTCCACTGATATGAACCTAGCTAGAGCTTGGATCTGTCTGGTTTCCTTATCCGAGAGTCCTTCAAGAAGGCTTGCATGAAGCTTGATCGTTGCCAGAACTCGATCCGTATCATCAGATGTAAGTGGAGATTCAGCGTTGATGATGTGGCGAAAAAACTCCAATCTTTCGGATTTGGTTGTGAAAATGGTGAAGGGGTTGTCATCTTCCATAGTTGACGGTGTAAAGCTTGAGCGTGGTAAGGATGAAGAGGAAGGATGTGGGGTTGGCGTGTAAGATTAAGAAAGACAAGGAGACCTTTTAATTAATGAGCTTCTCAAAAGTTGTGATGGATGGGATGAGTGATGTGACAAGTTTGTAGGGGTAGAAGTAGAGTCATACTAGGAGAGAGTGGTGGAAGTTGTTTGAAATTAATATTTCAATACACATTTTAATTATGTAGTGGTGGAATTAATATATAGATATATATAAGGTAGCCGAGCCGGTTAAGGAAACAAGCAGGTATAGGGGCGAGAAAAAATAAAAGGAAGTAGGAGAGGTTTAGAATTTTATTTTCCTGCAAAAAATAAACAACAACCACGTTACAGAAAATTAATTAGAGATTATTTGTTGTACCTGGTGTGGAAGATTAAGCTGTGAGATTGCAAACCCCAAGGGCAGCTCTAAGCAGTTCAAATCTCGTTTTGTCTAACGGTTTGGTGAATAGATCTGCAAGATTTTTATCTGTTGGAGTATATTCCAAGATAATTTCTTTCTCTTCAACTAGTTCACGAATAAAGTGGTGTCGAATGTCTATGTGTTTCGTCCTGGAGTGTTGGACTGGATTTTTAGAGATGTTGATTGCGCTGGTGTTGTCACTGAACAATGTCATACTTTGTTGTTCTATACCATAGTCAGTTAACATCTGACGCATCCAGAGTAATTGTGTACAACAACTACTCGCCGCTATATACTCAGCTTCAGCTGTGCTGAGTGAAATCGAGTTCTGCTTTTTACTTAGCCAGGCGACTAGATTTTTTCCGATAAAGAAACATCCGCCTGATGTACTTTTTCTATCGTCAGCGTTTCCTGCCCAGTCAGCATCACTGTATCCTGCAAGATTCAGATTAGTATCGTTCGAGTACCAAATACCATAATTTATCGTACCTTTAACGTATTTTATAATACGTTTTACCGCCTTTAAGTGTGACTCTTTTGGATCGACTTGATAGCGTGCACACATTCCAACACTCACCATAATATCTGGTCGACTGGCTGTTAAGTATAGTAGACTGCCTATCATACTTCTGTACATAGTAGAGTCTACAGATGTTCCTTTTTCATCTTTGAACAATTTTGAAGTCGTAGAGATAGGAGTACGAGCATCTTTTGCAGATTCAAGTCCAAATTTGGATAGAAGATTTTTCGCATATTTTTCTTGTGAAATAAAAATCCCTTCTTTAGTTTGACTTACTTGTAATCCAAGAAAATAGGTTAGTTCACCTATCATGCTCATTTCAAACTCCTGTTGCATTACCTTGACTAGCTGGTCTGTCTCTCCTGGTTGTGTGGATCCAAAAACGATATCATCTACATACACTTGAGCAATTGTTGTGTGTTTACCTGATCATTTTATAAATAAAGTTTTGTCTGATCCTCCTCTTTTGTAGTTGTTCTGAAAAAGATATTGAGTAAGTATCTCATACCAGGCTCTTGGGGCCTATTTTAAACCATAGAGAGCTTTTTGTAATTTGTAGACATAGTTTGGATGATGTGGGTCTTCAAACCCTTTAGGCTGAGCAACGTATATATCTTCCGAGAGATAACCGTTTAAGAAGGCTGTTTTAACGTCCATCTGAAACAGCTTGAATTTTAGGGCACACGCAATCAATAGAAGGAGTCGGATTGACTCTAGTCGTGCAACAGGGGCAAATGTTTCGTCGTAGTTGATTCCTTCAATTTGGGAGTAGCCTTGGGCTACCAGTTGCGCTTTATTTC